ATCCCTTCCACACCTTTCCGCAGCCCCTTTTCCCAGATCGTGGCATTGGTTACTGCTGCACAGGCTGTCAGTCAGCGTGCTCCAGGGCTCCTGTATCAGACTCCCTTGGGTGGAGGCTGGAAAAAGTTCCCTGCAGTCAGATCAACAAATTAGATCCCAATCAGTTCGAAAACTCCAAACGCTGCTTCTAGCCAGACCCCCAAGCCTGCAAACACAAGCCACCTTGCAGCTCTGATTCCACCTAGAGCTGCACAAAGCAGAGACAGCTTTGGCCTTGTCCCTGACTAGACCCCTGAGCTCACCACCATTCCCTTCTCCTCTCCCCACACAGTCTTCCTGAGAGAAACCAGGTGCTACAGAGGCTGAAATAGTGTTGGCTGTTGTTCTCCTCTCACCCCTGGAACTGGTACGCCATTTCCCACTACTTGGATCATTTGCACTATCACCTTTCCACTTGCTTTTTCAATTTCTTGCTTTCCAGTTCAAGTCACATCAGAGACGTCAAAATTGCACCGTGCAAATTATAATGTGGAAAATGTCCAGCTCGGTTTATCGAATAGGCACATTTTTTTACGACAACTCCCGGTTATGGGGACATGATGTTTTTTTCTGTTGTGGAGCCAGTTTAAAAATGTTTTGCAACTACAAATCATATGCAAAGTTAATACATTTTATATTTGTCCAAACTAGCTCTGGATTGTTTTCTGCTAACTTTGGGTTACCCCCAATAATTGAACATTTAAATGCAAACTTCATTCAGAACATAATGACTCTACTACAACTGCATCTTTGTCACTTGAGTTGTTGTGTAAGTTATTTATGAACTGTATGTGGCCACGTTGATTGTAACTAACAAACACTGTCACCATTAATCATTCTGACAGGTTTCACAGGCACATGCTGAACAATAAATACAGTTGCAGTTAATTACAAATTTGGCAGTTAGTCGAACCAAAAATTTGCGTAACCACTAACCAGATTTTTCAAACTATATGCCATATTGTTAATTGATAATGTTTCAGTTAGAAAGGACAAATAGATCACCAGATGTGTGAGTTATCAAATGAAGAAGGAGAATTGTCAGATATGCTTAGCGAAAAGCATTAAGCGTAGCGTAAGTTCTGGCAGGTCTGACTCTCAGCTGATACACGTCTACCTATAGGAATACGACGCCTATCACTGTATACATATATAAGCTCCTTCAGTATTATCAGCAGCTATCACGTTTCTCAGGAGATAATCACCCTCCTCCATCCCCAGCTCCTCCTCTCGTCCAGTCAGTATGGCATTCTGATTCCCCTCGAATTATGTTGTACTTTAAAATCTTGAATTAATGATATCTGCAATACATTCATGTTGGTTCTGTTCTGTTTACCCTAAGGGGGGTTATTGCTGCTCTCCCTGCTCTTATCCATGCTAGGCTGCATGGATGCGCAGGGAGTTCTTGCCCAGAACAGAACCATACCGCCAATCCAAACTGTATGCAATTGCCAATCGTATTTGACGATAGTGGCCCTGACAGAATTATAGTTGCATGACACAGGCCAAAAACTGGAGTCAGGTTCATGCTCATTACTATTCCTAATTGCCACTCCAAGAGTATATTTGTCATTTGCTGGAATACATCAAAGTTGTTGACACATCCAACGCTTAATTCTGCATGTCTTGCACAAGAAACCTTTTCACTTTCTTTTTACAATGTCTTATGTTACAGAGTGTACAATCTAAGCTATTATTCAGTGCCATCACTCATTTAGTTCATTTTATTAGATATATCATGCTGAACCGAAATCAAGCTTTTTGCATAACCATTAATGTACTTGCTGCTGGACCCCACCCTTCATCTGAGAGTCTTTATCCTCTAAATAGCTTGAAGGCTATTAAGTTAATTAATGGCACATGGAGAATGAGGATCACCCAGAATCTCAGTCTCATGCAGTTTTCATCCCATTGTCTTATTTCTTTGCTATTCCTGCTTTCCTCAGTTGTTTAGTGTCAGACCAGGCCAGTGCCCCAAATACCTCTGTTCCCAAACCAGGCAGATCCAATGGTCATGTATTACTCATTCAGAGATTCCATTCCTTTTAAATATGGCTCTGGCTCCTCCTTCCCTCTTCTTGCTGCTCAATCCTGCCAAAATCCTTTTCTCTAATGAACTGTTGGTATGCTGTCATTGTCCAAGAGCTGAGTGTTATACCTAAAAAAAGTTTTGGGAGTGAAAAGAACATGGGGACGAGCCAATAAATATAGCAAGAGGGCACTGCTGGGAAGGAAGGTTATCTGACGTGCTCCATGAGATGGAGCACCCGAGAAGAGGAAAGTGTCAAGAATGTGAAAGGCTAGGAAAAGGGGGTTCTAACATCGAGGGGAGGGCGCTAAACTGATCTGGTTTGCACTCTGATGAATATATCTGTATGTGATTATTTTGACAGCAGTTATAAACCCATAAGGTCTGGCCCCAGTTCCTGCTCTTGTTGATTTAAACCACTGAGCCCCATAAATAATGGCTGATTAAGTGGCTGCGCCAGCTCTCTTAGCCCAATTTACCGCTGCTTGGGTCTGAGGTCTATGGCCCTAAATGTGTTCTGCATTAGTATTACTGAAGAGGACTGAGAAAGCAAGGCGACTGGTCCCATGAGCCAGAGGAAGCCCTCAATAAAAGAGGGTTTAATAGATTTAAACATCTTTTGATACGCATTTGAACAGACTTAAACTGCCTGGATTCAAAGAAAATGTGGCAGAGATATTATGTTGTGAGCAGTCATAAATATGTCACTCTAAGTAAACACATTTATGGAAGTCTTTATAGATGCAAATGCATGTACATTCACTCTAACTGCTCTGTTTATGTTAGTCACTTTTTACACTGCATCAACAACTCAGATGCCATTAGTGACGTACAGTAGTAGCCATTGTTGTTGGAGGAAAATTTACGTCATAGTGAGTGATATATCAGTACAATATTGGACGATTTTTACATTTAGGTTACCTTTGCCGTCATATAGCGCTCACATAAATTTTAATCTTTAAAAACATTATGATTGTTATGGTTTTTCTTACTGCACAATATAGTGTGGTGATGCCTAAATACACTTCTAGAATTTAAGAGATGATTTTTAAAAGATTGATTTTAGGATAGTGATTTATTTTTAATTTATTTACAAAATAGTATAGAATTTAATGATGTACCATTTAATGGTTATCTGCCATAACATAATCGGACTGAATTTTATTATCATTGCATCCCTAATAGGTCATAGACTTTGTATATTTCTTCAAGTTAGTATCTGTTTGTTATTTTTAACCAATAAAAATCTAGGAGTTTGTAGTTTATTGGGTGCAAAAATATAATAATAATAAAGGAAAAGGAGCTCCTGACAACAAATCAAGTTTCTTTAAAGCAAGGCATAATAATTGTTGAAGTATTAAGAGTCATGAACTTAATCCATTCAATTTAAATTCATTTTTTATTCAACTCTAAATTCTAAGATTTACTCTAATGATTTTACAGCACAGAGTTTTGGTACTAGTTGGCCTCTGAAGTGTGAGAGCTCCCTCCAGCTGTCACTTATCCTGTTCAACAGTGCAACGATTTGGCAAGCGGTCTTTCTGACAAGGGAAGCAGGCGCAATGGTGGTAAGTGTGCTTTGAAATTTCATTTCCCCCTCTTTAGTGGGATAACATTTCACCACTTTAGATTAGCCACCCCAGGTCCCATCAACACATTTAAGAGGGCGACCTCCACCTTCCCCCTCCGCAGCGCACAGTGAGACGTCTGAGATGACGGCGCTGTGTTAACCTGGCCAAGGGCAGCATAGCAATAACAAACACAGGATCACAGAACCAGTGCGACCCCTGACCTCAGAGCCCTTGCCCAACACCACATAGATTATTATCAAACGGAACAACTTCAAAGACCCCCCCCCCCCCCCCCCCCCCCCAAAAAAAAAGAGATAGTCAAGTATTTTTATATATTGTTTAATTTTCATTTCAATAAGCCTATAAAAAGCAGTTTTGAATTGAATTTTTTTATGAAATATAATTTGCTAAAAAAAAATGTTGATTTGATGCAAATGCAACCATCCTTTTAACTTTTAAAATTAAATCACCGTTTGAGGACAAAAATTTGCACAAACATATTTGTTTCTTTAGGAACGCTAAACATTGACTAATACTAAATATCCATTTTGACTTTCAAAAATAATGCAAAAAGAAGGATACTAAATGTCTGTGAGGTTTGCAGCCAAATTCTGTAGCCGTTTTCTTCAAATCTGTGATACTTTGCATCAAAACATGTCTCTTGTGCATGCCACTGAGTCATAATTGTAAATGAACTGAAATGTAGACTACAAACATGTCACGGAGAAAGAGAAGGATCAAATTCTGTGGTACTGCTCTGAGCTGAGTCTGACAGGCTGCTCTAGTCCAGAGCTCTCAGACCTGATTGAGATTTTAATAAGTAAGAGTAATATGACCTGGCTCCAGTCCCCATTTCTCTCTCTCTCTCTCTCTCTCTTTGTATTTTCTCTGTCCTTTCACTCAGTGTTTTAGAGCATCAGAGACATAAATCTATTCCAGCTTTGGGAAACTTTACAGAGCCAAGGACGATTTAAAGCTGAGAAGGTGGATCAGTAATGTGTAATACTACTCACTGCTTTAACCCTCCCTTCTTTAACAAACTCATCAGCTCATGCGACGTTCCCATCCGACAGAAAATTCACCTCGTCTGAGTCTGAACGAGACTCCCTTTCGGGTTTACCCTTCATTTTATTGAAGTTCGCCAAGAACAAACCTATAGCCATCATCAGCTACCGAAAGCAAACGGTAAATCAGACAGTTTGACAGACGACAAGCCAATCACAGACATTAGCTGGCAATGACTCGGTTCTTCATTGGTGAGTGGCAGTAAATGATTCACGCTAAGTGTCATAGTTCCGCCCAGTCTTAAAACCAAACTTGTGCAGGCCGCTTGCTTTCATTGATTGACTAGACCGTTCTTCTGCCAAACTGCTGTCAGTGAAGACTGAGAGTCAGAAAAGCCAGATGGCCTGATGAAGAGTGCCCGGAGGAGTCATCCGCATCCGCGTTCTGGTGTAACAAGTGGTGAGTAAAATGTGTACGACCTTTTCATTCGATACCTATCTGTCCAAATGTTTGGCTGAAGATTAGGTGTAAAGCCCAAATTTACAAGTGGGTTTTACTGATTGCTGCAGCAATGTATTGTCAGGGCTGTGTTTGAGATGTGTGACTGTGTTTGTGGACCTCATTCTTAGGAATTTGTTTATTGTCCTGGTCACTAGCTCTAGCGGACTTTGGTCCCTATTAAGTTAGTGACGACAGAAATGGCATCAGCATCAGTAGCTGTAAACAACTCCCATCCGCCCTTTCCATCACCTGAGACAAACCTTTGATAAGAGCAGTTCTCCTTGAGTTTGGTGCATCATGTGTCTGTGTAAATGTTGGTTCTTTGTCTAGACATCTAGTCCTTGCCTGTTCTCGTGCTCCCTGTGGTTTCCTAGATGCAGAGAAAACCTCCACTTGTCTTAAGACTCTAAGATTGAATTGTTGGGGTTTAGAGAAATGCTGTCAGGGTGGGCCAGTGGATAGCTGAAACAAGATCCTTTCTAAGGCTTGAATTTGGTGGGATCAGTTTTAAACTGCTGAGTACAGTGATTTTTAAAGAAACAGGCATAGGAAGAGTTGCTGTTCAATAATAATATTTATTTATACATAGACACACAAATATATAAAAAACAAATATGCAATAGAAAATATTGTTGCATTGATTAAGTTTTTGCAACATACATTGAAATATAATTTTGTCAGTAAATTTGCACGTTCTAATGATCATACTTGGTTTCTTAGTAAAATAATAATTTAGTGAATTATCCGATTGAAATGTAAGTTTACCAAGTAAATTGCACATGTTTTTGACACTCATATAAGACATTAGTATTTCATTCAAAAGAAAGAAATATAGAGACTACTTTTTTAATATAAAAAAACTTTTATGATTTAAATACAAATACTCTAAAAAGCAACAATATTTAACCTACTTCATAAAGCATTTTTCCCCATTGTTGAAGATGGGTTGTTAGATCAGCAAAAGCACACCCACAGCCCTCGAATATAGCAGGTTTCCCTTGTCCAGTAATTTCTTACCTTCAGCACAGACTTGCAACAATTTCTTACCTTCAGCACAGACTTGCAACGTCCTTTGACGAGGTTCCTTATCAGCTGAACTTGAATAAATTCATTAGGAACAGCACTGCGCGAGTTATGCGGTGGGTCAAAAACTCATCTTGCCCAACAGACGTCCTGGTTTTCATGTCAAGTGGGCAGATCACATTCTTAAGGGCCCCTCCTCCGCTTTCAAACGCTGGATCAATTTCTTTTTACTTTGTTTATGTTATCATTTGTAAATCTTACCAGAGCTGGACCATGAGGCACAAAGGGGACTCATACACAGTCTAATGAAGTATTTACAGATCATTCCAACTGTCAAATACTTTTGCTCAATGACATAGTGCAGAGTGCTCACGGTTAACAACTCGCGTTTGCTATCCAAACCCCCGCATGAATGTCTCAGGTCAGGCGGGTTTCATTTCAGGTAAATAGGCTAATGCAAAGACCTGCAGAATCTATAGTTTTTAGATTTAGTGAAGGGTGTTTTACGGGGTCTCATGCGCACAGTGCGCATTTCTACTTCGATCCGTGCGAAAAGTTCTCGTAAATTAGTAAAACAAGCAGAACATATATTGTTTTTTATATATATATATTTTTGGAGAACCATGTGCCCATTGAGAAATGAATAGGCCTATCTTTTTCGGCACATGAATATCGATGGCAGTTATTTAGGTTAATTGTTATAGCTTTTTTTTTTATTATGGTTTTGTTTTTATGAACCTCTCCTGAAACTTTCTTTCTCCACTTTTAATAATAGGCTAATAATAATAATAATAATAAATTATTAGTAGTATTATGTTTTCTTAAAATCGTGTTGTGGAAGATTTAGACATGAAGGTCTTAAGTGGAATTTAAACTATTGGGAAAATGCAGGGGGAATCGTGACCTCTGAGTGGAAGCAATTAGTGTCCTGCCAATTAGAGTTTCGTTTACAAAACATGTGTTTAACATTTATTTTTGGTGTTGTTTTGTTTCTGCCTAATTAAAATTGGCTAATGTTACGTATATAGCCTATAATTGTAGCAATATTAATAATATAACACGAGACCATTCACAACCTTTATTTTCGTCCTAATGTAACGGAAGGAAAAAATAAAAAGGCATAGATACAGCAAAACGTATTTAATTTTCTAGTGACGACTTCCTTTGTATTTCATTGTTTTTATCTGCTGCGTAAAGGCACATAGCCTAATTGTCGATAACGTAAATCACACTTTTAAAATCATCTTAACTGTCGGACGTTTTACTTTAGAAGAACTAAAGTTTATCGATACAGGAGCTGCCAGGTCTAAAAGTGCTGAACTAATGCCGAACATGGACATTTCTGAAATTAAGACTATTAAATAGACTATTTTTTAATATAAAACAATTATGCGTTTAGCAAGAGAGTATCAGAAATGTTAGTGCTCAACTAGCTACATATTAATGAAAGGTCTTTAATGACACTGTACAACTTGTGACTGCCATTATGCAACATGCAATGAAACAAACTGATTTATAGCCTACCTTAATTCAGGCCTGTCACGTGGCATGCATAGACTGCAGAATATTATTGTAACATCGGAAATTATTCTCTTAGGCTAAATATGCATATTGGCTTTGCAATAATCAAAATAGCCTACATCAATTTAATGTTAAGTGATTTTGACTGTTTTACCTAAAGCAAAGACCATTTACGTCACAAATGGTCTGAGACACGTTCATTTACGTTATGCATAGCCTACTTGTATTATGTAGGCCTAGCTATTATTATTAATATTAAGGATTAAATGTGGAATAACAACGGATTGAATAGTCTCCTTTAATGTAGAATGTTTACTGTAAACATAGGCCTGATTTACAATTGATTTACATACAGTATTAATATTTATCAAAGGTAGCGACACGAATAGATTGAGCATAATGATTTACTAATTGTTTATATTGACTCGTAGCAGCAGGCTACTCGTTACGTTAGTATTGTCTTAAATGCTCTTGATAAAATTCGTTTACTAATCTAATTTCGGAAATTGTGTTTAGACATTCTGATTAAAAAAAAACTTGGGTTCTTTCTTCCATACGGTTTGATCATAGTCACCTTTGAAATTTGAAGTGATTCACTTGTGTTTCAATCTACACTAGGTTATCCGTTTGTGCATTTATTTAGTTACAGAATGAAAACAATATTAATGTATTCTTTGAATCGCCCACCACCTCCACTCCACCTCAGCCCTGTGTATAAGCCTAAAAGAATCACATACAATACAATTTAAAACTAATTTAATACAACTTCACTTACTTCTGGAATTCACAGTAATTGAAGGTGTAGTTTTGATTCTGGCCACTAGACGATGCTATTTCCACATACTAGACCAGTCAGCCTATCAGCAATGACCTGCAGGCACTATATCCCCTTTTCAGCACACGTTACTCACTCAAGACGACGAACATGTGTGATTCAATATTATGGTGTTACCTTTTGTCAGGTAAAGTTAGTGTAAATTCTTAGTTAGGCCTACCTTCAAATTTGTATACATGGTGATTTGCGAAACCGGCTCCACAGCTAGCTTACTTAAAAAGAAATAATTGGCCTAGCTATTTTCTTCCTTGAATTTAAATTAGGTTTTCGCTCTGCATAAACTAATCATAAACCTTTGCATAATTTAAACCCTTTTATGTGATAACTGTGCAACAAAGTAGTTATTTTATTAATTACATTTCTTTTGAAAATTTTGAAAATGTATTGTTCATTCTTTGATCAATACAATCATTTTTTAGACGTGCATAGACTATGATTTACTTTGAGACAGCAGCACCGCGCGTTCCAAACCTCCACGTAATTATTGTCATGTTTTACAGATTCATCGGGGAAATTACATCTTTTCTATTATTTACTTTCTCAACCTGAATTGTTTTCTGGTTTCGAAGTCTTGGGCATATATATTTAATTGTTTCACGGTTTGAACCTTTCTGCTTGAATGTAGTTTTGACTCCAAGTAGTCAGCTAATTTTAGATCCCCAGTTACCCAAGAAATGGAAAAGGGAGAGCTCATGAGGACCGTAAGATGCTCAAAAAAGGTTTACAAAACCAGAGCTCAATAATTTAAATGTGCTCGATACACCAAGCAATTGCGTGCAAGAAGTTCACATCAATTAGAGAAGCATTCTCTGCGACAAATATACCACATAATGTTCATTCGCATTTGGTTAAAGTTCCATTTTCTTCAATATGGGGGGCAGTGTCATAGCAATTTGTTACATTTTTTTGTGAAATCCATACAAAATAAAATTTATATTCATATTTACAGAACTTCATGAGCTTGTAAAATTACTCTGATATTTTAACCAAAAAGGTGTCCTTCTTATAATACAAGAAATCTTATAATACACAGAAAAGTTTATTACATGACAATCGTCCGTATAGTGACAGTTTTGCACAGTACGCGTACTTAATATCTGTCTGTCTATCTATCTATCTATCTATCTATCTATCTATCTATCTATCTATCTATCTATCTATCTATCTATCTATCTATCTATCTATTTCATTTATTCAGTTAATGCTAGTTTGTCATATTTAGCCTACTCATCTGTAAATCTGCTGTTGTGGCCCAGTTGATAAAATATTAATTTTCCACAAGGAAGTCGTATTTATGGAATGCAGTTCAAATACAGCATTCAAATACAGACAGAAACTATATTCATCGAGAGAGAAGAGAGAGAGAGAGAGAGCGCTCTGTGATTTCAAGTTATAATAGACGTTGATGGTTTTTTTTTTTTATTGAACATGCAATATGGAAAAATACAACGATCTAATAATTGTGGGTTAAAATACTAACCCAAATATTTAGATTATAATTGTGTAAATAATTTTAATTGGATCTTTGTTTGCTTCCATGAAAATTCTTAAAAATGTGCCGTTTTTCATACAAAGTGAACAAGACATATGCAATCACAGATATATAATAATAATAATAATAATAATAATAATAATAGGCTAATAATAACAGCCTAACAACAACAACAATAATAATAATTTATGTTTTACTGCGGTTTTCTTTTTTTTTTCTATGTAGCCTAATATAGACCTGTTATTTAACGAATTTTTTTTTACACTCTAAAAAAAATGTTTGGGTCGAATATGGACAAACCCAACGTTTGCGTTTAAAAAAAAATATTTACAACGGTTACCAACGGTTGGGTTTGTTCATATTTGACCCAACCATGGGTTGAAATAACAGCATTTTTTTAGAGTGTATTCTTAGCCATAATGTTATAGTGGAGTTGTGAGAGTGAAAGAGCATGATGAAACAAGCATAACTTTAGCTGATGGGAAACACATTCTTGTAGATGTTTTCATTTTGTAAGTGACCTTGCCACAATACATCAAAATGGGAACACGTGCACTCACCATTAGGGTACACAGGCTGCAGGCTATTTCCTATGTAAATTTACGGCAGGAACGTCAAGTTCACATAGGAACACAGTTGAGAAGTGACATCCAGCTAATATTTTTAAGTGTTTTCTGTGGCTTCATTCTGACCTGCAGGTAACAGAATCAAGTTGTGTATTAACAAGTTCATTATCGATAGTATTATTTAGTCCTTATTATCAACACAATTCCAGTTTGCAATTTATCTGTCACGCAACGCTGCATCACCATCATCGTCGTGATCATTATCTTATATTATTATAGTGACGAATGAGGTTGGAGAATCAGCCAGCGTTCGCTCACACACCCCAGAGTGTCTCAAAGCAACAGACCAGCCAACTGCACGCGCCATTGCTAATGAGTTCCCATTAAACCACTCTGGAAAAAGGTAAGATACTTTTGTACAAGCATATGAATGATACCTGTAAATCTGAATGTATGCATGCTTTTAAACCCTCACGTGATGCAGCTTATACAGTATAGCTATCTGAGATAAAGACAGCCAAACTGAGCCCATAGTTGTAGAAATGAACAAACTGTTGTAAATGATCTGTTTAGGAACTATATTGTCCCTTTTTTCGAGTACTAAGTTTTCAGGTTGAACTTTGACAGCTTGTATGGTGATACCCTTGAGCTACATCATGCTCCTTTTCCCCGTGTTCCTGCTCGTTCCTCTTGGACACTAGCGCTGCCAGAGCACATCATAAGCAGTCAAAATCTAGAAGATCTCCAGTCTGTATTTACAGCTTCTTGAGTTGGTGTCATTTGTGCTTTGATTTGTCATCTCTACCAACGCTATCTCACGAAATGACATTTTGTCACTTTCAATGTGATATGATAGGCAAAAAATCCACAATTTGAAGGTGATTCCGTTAAAACAACAACAACAACAACAACTCCGCTATAGCCTATAGACACGGAAACTGAATTAGCTGCATTTTAAGCAGTCGGTGTTCACGTGAGAGTGCCTCTCGAATCATTTCCAAACAAGATTTTTCCATTATCCGTTTTAATATTAAACCCATTAACCCACACAACCTTCCATGTATTTTTTCCCTAAGAATGCACGATACTTTCTTCTGTATGTCATTATCACTGTTTTACGTCTGTCGAGCAGATCAGTCATCGTTTCTGTATCATTTCAGTCAGTTTAACAACAAGTGAACTGACACGACAGCGATGCTTTCAGAACGCGTAAAATCAAATACAATGAAAAGGGATGCCGGGTGTAATTGATCTGAAACAAGTTCTCGACAGAAATAAATGACTTAATTAAAGCTTCTAAACGAACGTTAACACAGGCAGTATAAATAATTGTTCAAAACAGAAGTTCAACTATATATGTCGCTTTATTAATACCTTATACATGGAATGCATTAATTACTTAGCCTACCTTGTACAGCCCCGTCCCTCCTTCCCTCCCTCTCTCTCTCTCTCCCTCCCTCCCTCCCTGTCACACTTCCACGTTTGCTCTCCAATCCTCCTCCCACTCCCACTCCTCTCTCGGCTCTCCGTCAGTCCGCGTGCCGCTCAAGGGAGAGATTGAAAGTGACACACTCACATTGTTGCTCTTGAGATTTTTACGCCGTTGTAATAGGTAATGTCCGCATCGCACAAAGCAGATACTTGACGTCTGTTTTTGCTTTGTTTCTCTCTCTCTCTCTCTCTCTCTCTCTATGCATGCAGCAACGTAGCCGGACGTTTTCAGATTTTGATGCTCTCTTTGCGCCCGCTGCTGAGGTTTTCAGTTCTGCCACGGACACTCGTGACTCAAACTCGCGGTAAACAGTGAACAAGATTCCGCACTACAGGAGAGATTGTCGTCGGTCGCTTCTCGGAACTTCTCGGAATCTCTGTGCTGTGTTCAATCTCGTGCCCTGTCCTCTCTCTCTATCTCTATTTTCTCTCGCGCGCACTCTCTCTCTCTCTTCATGCTGTCTGTCTCCTGCTACCTGTACCCCTCAGCTCGGAGTCTCTCAGTTCCAGTGGCTCAGTCTCAGCGCACAGCGCACGGAGCCCAAGTGTCCAACACCGAACCCTGCCGTATTCAGCCCTCCGCGAGGCAGCGAGAAGCCCAGCCCTGGATTCAATACTTTTAATCAATGGACAGAGCCCTCTCAACGGCCAACCGAGGTACCGACACGCCATAAGCAGTAAGTGCAACAGAAAATAACTTTCGTCTTCTTTCATCCGATGCTTAGCGCATTCATGTAACTGCTACAGTAACAACGGGTGCATACCCTATTGCAACCAAGTAACATCTCAAATCTAACTATAACTATTCCAAATATAGACATAACATAAATATTGTGTTTGAATATGAAAGTGAATTCTTTGAGGCCTTTATAAAGAAAATAAATATAGGCCCAAATAGCAGTTTAGAAGGCCATGGATGTTTTACATATTCCTAATAACAGCCTACTTGTCATTAAGACACGTGCAACACCTTTGTAAAGTAATTTGCTGAAAGTTATAGAGCTTAGATGGTGATTGACGTTGAAAGAGTAAAATGCAGAATGCAATAGACGAGAGGGAGACTTTTGCCAATGAAACATTTACATTTTTTGATATGCACCAATTAAACAGCCTAATAATAATAATTTAAGATTTATTTCCTGTAGCCTAAATTTAATTTAAAAAAAAAGGTGATACACGAATTATGGCATCGTTCAGTTAAGTTTAAAACTCAATTAGTCAGGAATGTTTAGGACAAGAGGACTAAAGTCATGCACCCTGTGCACTGTCGTTTTCTTTAAAGAATATTATTTTCGGTTTAAGTTATTTAATAAAGCAGATTGTCGATATTCTCTAGTAAATTATTACGCTCTACGAGTGTATCTTTGATAACAGATTTTTAAGGCCTCGGAGTGGAGCTGGTTTTAAAAATAATTTTAAGCTTTTTTATTATTTAAACATTTCAAAGGGCTAGCGAAATAATGCATAATTATGAGACATAGCCTACTGAAAGATTTTTTAAGGGGAAATTCTGTTTTATTACAGCCCCAACATGATTATAGGCCTCAAGTTTAGCTTCACACGTGTTTGACTTTTTTCTCTGGTCTCATCGCCTCCGTGTGTGTGTGTGTGTGTGTGTGTGTGTGTGTGTGTGTGTGTGTGTGTGTGTGTGTGTGTGTGTGTGTGTGTGTGTGTGCGTAGCCTATTTGTTGATTGACATTTTCAGACCTATTTTATGTGATATCCTAATTTTCTAAGAGAAGGAATCTGAGACTTGATATCGAAAATGTCATGCTTCTTATATTATTTAGTAAAATTAATGAACAAGACCAAAACAAAATAAAAACAAAGCTATTAATTATGTTCAGTGTGTCAAGTTAATTTTATCCCTTAGCTTATGATTTGTTTAACTGCAAACTTTTTTATTTATTTAACAACATTAGCGTATTATTCTATTGCCATTTGTCCTATTAAGAAGGTGAGCAACTATGATAGCATATACATTAAAGGTAACGAGACATTTCGCTGATGGCAAGTTGAACCTTTTGTGTTTTAGGTAGCCTACCTCACGTTGTTAAACAACTGCTAAATGAGTTTTTATTTATTTTTATGAGGAGAAAGAGCCGTTGTTAGGAGAACCTGAAGCAATAGAGGGAGCATATTATAGAATGTTATTCAAAGTATTTCTAAGATAATAACACTTTTCTTTTTCGATAAATTTAAAATTGTTTTCAAACTGATTAAATTAAATTACATTTATTTGATTAAAATGTCCAGAACCAGTCTAGAAACTCTAGAAAAACGGCCATTTAGGAGTACAATTTAACATATAGCACAGAATAAATTAAGACAACCATACAATATATTTAGGCTATTTTATCACCTGATAGTTCCAAGATAGGCTATTTAAATAAGTCAGAACTAACTGTAATAATGCGACGAAATAAAGCAAATACCTGTCTACTCAATGTAGCTAAATTAGCCTATTTAGAACATCTCGAGTAAAAGATCTCGTCACCGTTTTTTTAGCACAATGTTTTTTTATCGATACAAGTCTTTAATGTAATTTAGATATTTTTTCCATACAGAGCTCGTGAAGTTTTCTTTGCTTGAAGAAAACAAAAAAAACATTTCAAAATTAAGGAATGAAATCTGTTGTCGAATACAATACACATACCACAGTTCACAGTTGTAGGCTATTAGACTCTCAACTATGAAGTATGGCTAAATCAAAAACAAAAACGCACATGCGGGAGTGCACATGATTTGTTATTATGTTACATTCGATATTTTTCCCCTGTCAGTTCAAACTCTGAGTTATGTATACATCACTTTAAAACTTTAGAGCAATGTATTTGAAGAGTCACTCACAAAATCATGCCTGTGCAAGAAGGAGGTATGGTTGCTATATAGCTGCCATCAGCGTTAGAGATCTTTCTGTTTCTTTTTAAAGTTACATTGATGTATCCATTTTTCATTTGCACAAACTTGGCCCCCATAGCCAGCGGAGACGTTTTCTTAACCAAGACCAAAAGGCTGGGGAAAAAAAGTTAATTAGTCTCCGTAACAGAGAGGTCTATAGGTCTCAGTAATTTTGCAATAGATGGAAGCCGCTGAGGATCCTTTAATCTCGCGCTTTGGGGAGCCCATCAGAATGGATCAAATCCAACATTTAGTCACGGCATGTTTTCTCCAGCTCTACGACTTCAGGGGAAGTTTAGCGCCATAACCTTTTTAGCTTGTACTTACGATACCTGTTAATTCTTTTGTTTAAAACATAAGGCATCTGCCGCTGCTGGATCATGTGTATGAAAGGAGAAGTGCCTCGCAATGTCATAATAATAAAAGAGTTTAAAAATGGCACGCAGCGACCTACTGCGTATTTACAATATAGCATTGCCTTATTGCTTTTACGAAAGGTTACTTCATACTAGTATTTCATGCATTTTCAATAAAGCATTATCTAATAATTATGTAATATGCAAATTCATAAAACTATATTATTCCGCTACAAGATCTAGTCCCTGACAGGTTAAACTGGCCTATTGGTGCTGCTCAGTGAAATACAGATGTGCGTTAGAAAGGTTAACAGGTGTTTTGTCATATCTGTTTTTATATTGTGTATTATAGAAGGATTGTAACACTGGCATACCAGCACGCAGGACCAGAACTATTACTATTAATTTTCCGCCAATAGATAGCTCGGCAAGGCCTAACTGCCATTTGTATTCATTCGCCTCTCCGCAACCACATGGCACGTTGGCGACAATCGAATTTGGTCATTTTATTGTTTTTAACTTTATTAATATTTAAAATAAATAAATAAAATATTGTTTTTCTAAATTAGGCAACATTTTTCTCAGAGTAGATTTATTTTTGAAAGACCATTTTTGAATGGCCTATCTAAAACAATAGCCTAGCTATTATTTCGATCGTTGTTGCCCAAGGAATACAGTTTACGCAGTTCATTTCACACTATATGTGGGTAAGTTGTCACAATTGAAACTGCTATTAAGCACCCTATTATCAGAATTATAAATATGCTACTTTTTTTCGAAAGAAATTAAACAGTAAAACAATAATACAAACACAGAACAATTATTGAAACAGCAAAAGTGTCAAATGTACATTACAAAAAAAAGATTGTTTTGGCCAGCAAATATTACTCATAAAGGACTTTTTTCTTTCATTTTTTTAAATGCGGCAACTTGAAATTTATTATAAATAGCCTTGTAAAATTTTAAAAATTTAAATCTGTCTTCGTAATGTTGACTCTTACCTGAATATAGTAGGCCTAATGGCATGATTGTGTTTATTAAAAACTTTGAAAGGACAGAATTCAAAAAAAAAAAAAAATCCAATTTAGGAGGGTTTTGAAGTAGTTGTTTTGAAACCTTGCAAAACCACTTATAGAGAAATAACAAATATTTTAAGTGGAGTTTTGACTCAAAACCTTCTAAAAATAATCCTTGTAACAACTTACTGTGTAACAACTATAGCCCCTAATATATATATATATGTTTATATATTATCAAACCATTTAACACTACACACCTAAACCTAGACCGCAGTCACCAACTCAATATGTGTGTGTTCATGTGTGTTTTATAGCCCTGCTCATGGTAGTCTACCATGTGCGATTTTTGTGAGTCAATGTGTGGTCCCTGGAAGTGTCAGAGCAGTGAGCCTGCTCTGTGGTTTGTGTGTGTTGAGTGTTTGTGTACACTTGTGTTTGTCTGCTTTTTGTGCGAGTCAGAGCAAGAGATTTAGGGAGAACATAATAAACTGCTGCTTACTCTTTATATTTTACTGTATAAGATGTTTATTAGCGAACTAAACATGCTCTCCGGAAGGTCTGTTGCGCCCTCTCATTGTATCTAAATCGACATATTTTCTGCACATTTCCAGTTTATTTGCACACTCATCTACATTATGGCAGTTGTATATGTTTCTTTACTCTCACACTAATCAATTCATTATTATCTTATTAACACTTATTCCCTTCTATCTAACATGACATGGTCTTATTGCTGAATAAAATATTGTGTGTGTGTGTGTGTGTGTGTATGTCTGTGTGTGTATATCCAAGGAAGTGCCAGTATCAAGCTTGTCTTGTATGTTTCCAGTGTAATCATCTGTCTTGGTTACAGTTTGATCTGCCATCAAATTCATGGGTGATAAGCTGCTATCTATCCATTCTTCCCTTCCCAACGCACACACCTGTGAGACACCGAGGGGCCTTCAATACGAATCCCTCAACCATCTTCACCTGCTTTATCTGTACCCTGACTGAGCCGATGCTTTAATAACCCTGCAATAAATGAGTATCACAGCCCTATTCCCTGGTCAATAAGGTTAACGCCTTAGCATGTCGTCAACACAGAGATACCACGATACCACCATGTTCTGTAACAACACACAGCTTTATCTCATTACTCATTTGCATGCGTGTTTCTATTAGTTGTTATTAACTGCTGTCGGGTAAAGGGCTTTTATTATTTTGAGTTGGAAAACAGCAAGAAATTGGACACTCTTGTCAAACAACCTTTTCCATACCTAATTTGTGAAACTGCTTTTTTGTCATCTTGGTAGGCAACATTTCTCTCTCTCTCTCTCTCTCTCTCTCTCTCTCTTTTCCCAAACATCTGCCTTTTTTCTCAGGATTTCTCTATATCACTCTTTCCCTTCTGTGTATACT